CGACACAAATATTAAAGTGCAAGCTGACAAATAGTCATTAACGTTAGATCTTCCAACTAGCTTGCAACATACTCTCTTGTCTTTTTATGATTTTTAGTTTTTGGCTACAGTCGAAACCACTCTCTTAATATAACTCAAGTTTAGACTCTAATCTGATGAACTTCTTAGATAATATGCTTTCACACTAATTGCAACAATTAGTTTAATCATTTCCTTTGCCACTAGTTTGCCCAGTTATGTGAAGTAGCTCCTTAACATCTGAACTGAAGGATAATTCATTTTTCCTTTTTTAACATATGAAGTAGTAAATAACAGCAAGGAGTGAACTCCACTTTTTTGCACTAGTTTCATCAGTATTTTCTGGTCACTCCGCAGACTCCTGTTGTTAGGCACATGAATATGCATTTCAAACACTTGAAGCTTTTTGGGTACTGGCAAATTAAGTGGGTTTAACAAAAATTTAATACTTTATAGATGGGATTGGTATAATGGTATAGTGACATGATTGCATGGCTTCGTACCTTCAATGCCCAGGAGAAAGACTGCAAATTTTCATCCCGAAGGAGTACACAGCCAAAGAAACAATGCGTTCCATGGTTATCCACTCCGATCCATATACCAAGAAGCATATCATAGGCATCCAAGCGGTGAGTAGTGTCAAATACTATGGAATCACCAAAAGCCTCATACAACCTCATTGATGAAGCATAAGACCAGGCAATATGCTCCAACCTGTTATTACAATCTATTTTATAGTCGTATTTGAAGTTAGGGTCTTTGTCTTTCATCTCCTTGCACATTTTGAGGAGGTCAATAGGGTCATTGTCTTGCTCCACATTTCTAAAAGATAGCAGCAAGTTTCTGACATCAACCTCTGTGAAGGGTAAGCAACCCAACTTAACTCCCTTCTCTAGCTCCGTCAACCTTAGCATTTGCCGAACTGACATCCCAGCTTTCGCAAACATGCAAATGCGACTCTTGTCATCAGGAGACATGGTGCAGTAGGCAGGAAGAAGCTGCACCTCAGTTGACTTTAAGAGTTCATGGTTATGAACATTGCTGAAACCTGTGATCCGCCATTCAGGGACATTAAAATCTGCTCTTTTAACAATTCTCATGAACGCCTGACATCCACAACGTGATGATTTTCGATTCCTTTGCAGCTTGCCATCTTCTGAAGGCTTTAGTTGTGGATAGCCACCGCGATGGCACGTAAAATCTCTTCTTGTAATCCCCCTACCAATGCCATCCTTCCCCCGAGTACGATGACGTCTGATTGAGAAGCCACTTTGCTTTGCAAAGCTACAGTAAAATTCATATGCAGCATCCTGTGATACAAATATCTGGCCAATGAAAGGGACGAGGTTCACCGATGTTTGTCGTGATAAGATTGCGTCCTCAGGCATTTCCTCAACAGTGCCAATATCATCCTGAGATGAATCTGTCCCATTTTCAGATATTTCTTTCGCTATGCTTGTTATCTCAGGCATTTTCCAATTCTAGAAATGTCGGATTACGGATGATAACACCATCTTCACATGCTATATGCAGCCAATAATGCACAATCACTGCAAGCTGTATAAAACATCCAATGTTGCAGAGAAAAAAGGAAAGCATAAGGATACGAAGGCAAAAACACAAAACTAAAAACAAAATTAAAAGAATCTAAAAGTGTCATGAAGGTTCTGAACCACTTAGATTTTCATTAAAGTGGTAAAATAACGGATGATACTCGAACACATAGTGCAGTCGGTAAGAGAATTTCTATTAGCACTTCTCACCAATAAAAACAATATTACAAGCTGACAGCAGAATTCAATTCAGCAAATACTCTGTGAATAGCAATTATACCCTATGTTACAAGGATCCTTCTTTTGCCTAGATATATCCATATCGAACAAGTACCTCGTGAAGATTTTTCAAAATAATTAAAAATAGTGTGGGAAAAAAAAAACTAATGTACCCATATACAATAACAACTAAGCCTCAATCCCAAACAAGTTGGGATCAGGTGATCAGCTGTATGATTCTCACTGACCATGTGTGAGCTTGCTATTGCATGTCCCAAACCCGAAAAAACTAGGAGTGCTGCGGGAAACTGGCATCCAGCATAAAACTAGCCTATTTCATGATTAAATTCCCGTAAAATGTACCCATAATCGAGTCCATGTTAGATAGCTTATAACATGTGGGACTTGTTATTGAGACAAAAGTGTAGCTTATTTTGAGAAAGAACTACCAAAATTAATGTTAAATTATTATTATTATTATTATTATTATTATTACTACTATTTAGTTCCTAAAGTAAATAACACATTAATGCCATGAATTTTACTCACTGGCTCAGTACACGATTTCAGGCGTCTCAAGTAATACACCAATCTTTGAAGTTCCGCAAACCACAGTAAAATAAATCAGATATCAGAATAGAAAAATTATCCCATATAATCAGCACAGCACAGCACATGAAATGGGCCCGATAGAGCGGAATAGATATACAGAAAATATATAGCTAAACGAACTAGTTTGGGATTGAGGCATAGCTGAATAAATATAGAGAAATTACACAGCTAAACGAACTACTTCGGGATTGAGGCATACAGCAATAGCGAGCAGAGCCCACTGGACACTTAAACCAGCGAAATTAACAAATTAAGCTTCAAATATCTACACAGCCTAGGATAAAAAGAAGACCTTGGCTCGAAGAAGTGGTCGGAGAAAACGAACACGGACGCCGGTGGGAACCACGTCGGAAGCGGCACGGAACTGGAAGAAATGGAGTAACTGGAATCGACTGACGAACTGTAAGATTTGGGTAAAAGCCAGGTTTACCCCCAGTCCAATTTTATATTCTAGGGCAAAAACGTAAACTTTGTAGCCTTATCTCCTTACCTGATCTGCTCCGCGAGCTAAATCGGGCAATAACAACGACAATAATAAAACAAGCTGCTTAAAAGAAGAAACATAACATCTTTTTAAGTGCAACCAGAAAATGATTAAATTCTTTTCTTTTTTCTTGGATTTTTTTTCAAATTTACCCGTTTATTATATATTACAACAATTTAATTTACCTTCCAATATATTTTCATTATTTTTTTCTTGTAGTTAACAAATTGTTACCTACTTGTCCTTGACTTAACGAAGTTTCAGCATAAGAGTTGGTGGATTTCCTATGCCAAAATAATTTTAAACAATTCTACATTTATTCTTTCGACTATGATTCAAAATTACGCGTCATAATACTTCTCTTTAGAGTCCAAATAGGAGCCCGTTTGAATTGGCTTAAAAAAAATGGCTTTTAAGTATATGTGCTTAAAAGCACTTTTAAGTGCTGGAGCTTATTTTATAAATAATCAGTTATGTGTTTGGATAAAAGTACTGAAACTTAAAACAAGTTGTGAAAGTGTTTGGTAAACAAGTGTTGTTAAGCATATTTTCTTTAAAATAACTAAAATGTCCTTAAAGTTGATAACACTAAAAATAAGCTTATTATTACAAGTTTTTAATGCTAAATTGATTCCTATACAAATTAATTCATGTCTAGTTCTTGTTAAGTTCTCAAAGATTTGATAAAATTATTTTTAATATATATAAATTATTTATTTAAATAACATATAATAATAATTTGACTAAAATAACCACTTGGTCAATGGCATATCATAATAATTTAACTAGTTTACCACTATGGCCAATGAACATATAAATGAAATATATTTAGATGTTTCTAACTTTCAAATCTTTTTCTTGAGTCAATTGCCTCTGAAATTTGACTCGTGATGTTTTATTAAAAAGATTGTGATGGGGAGGGAGCACCACTGGAAAAGAAAGAAAGGCAAAAAAAAAAAAGAGGGGAAAATAATAATGAAACGGTAAAGAAAGGAATAAAAGGAAAAGAGAGGAAAGTTACGAAGAAAGGAACAAGAAAGCAAGGCTACTGCAACAGAACGGAGAAAAGAAAAAAATAGCATATTTTAGGTTTTCTATTGAGGGGTAATTTCAGAATTAAGAAAAATTATAAGGGATAAGAATATAATATACTTGGTCAAAGCAATATAGCTTTTAAGCCAATTTAGAAAAAGTTGGGTTTACCCAACTTATTAGTTATAGCTTTTTTTAAGCCGATTTTAACTTTTTTTAAGCTCTTTTTTTGGTTGCCAAACACCTCCACAAGTTAAAAATAGCTTAAAAGTTGGTTTGACCAGCTTTTAAGCCCATCCAAACAGGCTCTAGGAGTTTTGCTAGTATTAAGGATAAATATGAAACAAAAGTATGAATTTACGCGAAAGATAAAATTAAAATATATTGTACATCAAGTTTTAGCTTTATTTCTCGATAAAAAAAATGCGATATATACGTATTTAATGTAATTCAAATTGAGATTACTTTAACACTATATTTCTCCCTGTTGAAATTTTGAGTTTATCTCAACTTCATTACATAAGATGTACGGGTAATTTTATGGTGTGTCTCATACAGCTGACATTAGTTGTGTGAGACCTCTTTTTATCTCACACATTTGTGGACCCTTATCTTATATACTTGGGTCCACAAAAATCTGGGACTACAAAATTGTGAGACAAAAAAGAGGCATCACACAACTAGTGTCACTTGTGTAAGGCACAAAACAAATTTTTTTAAGATGTACCATGAGAAATCAAGAAACTACTAAGTTTGAGAAATCTTTTGATTAGTCTACTAAGTTTAAGAGTTGGTGAATATCTCATTTTATCACACCTTATCCCATTAAACTTGGTATTATTTTATCCCACCTCCTAAGTGGGACAAATTAGTCTATGAATTATAATCTCAGAACTATAATCCCGAGATGATTTAGTCGGCATACCAAACTACCTATTAGATTACAAAAAGCCTACACTCTATAATAACATAACTTTTTGAGGTAATGACAAAATTCGAAATGATAAGATTCGAAATGATTGAGGGTAAATGAACCACATCCATCCAACCATACACATTGTTTTTTTAGTAACACTGTGAATTACCATTGGTAACAAACAATAAGAGTACACCTAGTAAGCACCTAGACCCCAAAACTCCTTATCTGGGGAGCTTCAGATCAGGACTTAGAAAATCACTAGTTACACATCAACCTTTGTATCAGTACACTACATCTCTGACTTTTCTTAGTTTGTCTAAACAATCCAATCCTATCTACTAGCTCTTTCTTAATATGTATTATTATACTCTCAATATTTACAATTGTAATCCTAAAAGTTTTCCAGTTCCTAGCCTTCCAAATATGATATATTATTGCTGCCCATAATGCAACAATAACTTCCTTATTTACCAGCTGCCAATTCTTTCTTTTGATTATGTACAGAACCCTTTGTGCATCTCACGGTTGCATTTGAATTCCTGCCTAGTGCATTAGTTCCTCTTGAACAGCTTTGGACCAAGGACACTCTTCAAACACGTGTTGATTAGTTTCCACTACCTGATCATTACATAACACACATTTATCTTCATCCACCTGAATGTGAAGAGAACTCAGTCTAGCCTTAGCGAGTATTCTTCCTTAAGTAGCTAACCACATGATGATCTTATGCTTTGGGCTATTGCATTCCAGTGAAGATCAGTTGTTGGACATCTCCTCTGATGACCTTTAATAGCTAAATAACTCCATGTGATTGAGTAATTCCCATGACACTCAGCTTGTAAGTGTCACCCTAGTTCCCGATTCCTCATCTCTTCCATAAGAGAACTTAGTTTTCTCTAATACCAACTACACTCATGTTAAACCTTATGAGTCCAAATATTAATATTAGACTTCATATAGATCTCATGGATCCATTTGACCTATAAGGAATCCTTTTTCATAATAAGCTGCCACAGTAACTTCCCAATAGAAGCTTTATTCCATTCCCTACAACTATTAATGTTGAGACTACCAAACTTCTTAGGCAGACACACTTTCTCCTACGCAATAAGGTAAAACTTCTTCTTCTCATCTGAGCCACCCCACAGGCACTCTCTGCACTTCTTGTAAAACAAAGACTCTGAGGTAAAACAAAGACTGCTCCCCAGAAGCTATGAATTGAGAATAGCTCTGCATTAACCACCTGAAGCCTCCCTGCATAAGACAAACTGCTTAGCATAGCTGAATTTGATTTTATTTGTTATCTTCTCAACAAGTTGATAACAATCTAACTTATTCCAATTCATAGGCAATAGTGGTAAACCTAGATACCTTATAGGAAAAGTACCTAGGGAGAAACCAATGTTGCTTAAAAGACTTTCCTTCATATGATCATCAATGTCTGCCATAAACATGCTAGATTTGTCCATATTAGCCACCAGTCCTGATACACTACTGAAATGTGCTAAAGCCTCTAGGACTCTATTTACTGAGCATGTTTCTCCCTTGCAGAACACCATGAGATCATCAACAAATACTAGATGTGTCAACTTCAATTGCTTGTACATAGGATGAAATTTAAAATCTGGTAGGGAACTCATACTGCCCAATGTTTTGGACAAATATTCCATTACAAGAACAAATAGTAAGGGTAAGATGGGATCACCTTGTCTGAGACCCCTTTTACCCTCAAAGAAACTACGACTTTTCACCATTTATATTAATTGAGAACTTGGTAGAAATTACATATGTCATAACCAATTTTGTGAACTTGGTTGGAAAGCCATAATGAATCAGAACATTCTATAAGAATTCCCAATTTACCATTTCATAACCTTTCCTCAGGTCTATCTTCATAAGACACCTATGAGTAGTCTTTCTGTTATAGTGCCTTAGTATATCATGGCATATAAGTATATTGTGGAGCATAGATCTACCAGGTATAAAAGCAGATTGATTATCTGTTACCAGAAGTTGAACACCCATTTTTAGTCTGCTACAACAATTTTGAAATGCACTTGTACAATACATTGCAACAGGATATAGGCCTAAATTGGATAGCATACTTTGGATTGCTTAGTTTAGGAATCAAAGCAATACTAGTTGCATTTAATTGTTTCAACAACTTTCCATTATTGAACAACTCCAGAACTGCATCTGTAATCTCTTCCCCTATAATAGGCCAAGCCGACTTAAAGAAGCCATTGCCATAATCATCAGGGCTTGGGTTCTTATTACTGTCAATTTGAAACATAGTAGCTTTCACCCCCTTCCTTTCAAAAAGTTTCATTACATCTACCTTTTGTTCAGTTGTTAAAACATGACCATTCTTTATGAATGCTTCAGCTGCTTTGGATCTACTGCTTGCTTTGTTTCCCAGCATGTCTTCATAATATGTGACAAATATTTAAGCTATATTGTCTGGATCTGTCTTTTAGGTATCCTGTTCATCCTTCAATTGAGTAATTGCTTGTTGGAGCCTTTTGTGTTTGATTACTGAATAAAAGTATCTTGTGTTGTCATCCCCCAACTTTATCCATGTAGCTTTACTTTTTTGTTGCAAGTAGACCTCGGCTAAGTAAGATGAATGCCTGAACTTTTGATACTTCTAATTTTCTTCTTGTTGTAAGTTTGGATCTGTTGGTCTAAGTTGTATCTGCTTCTGAACTTGCAATAAAGCTTTCCTATCCTCCTTGGCTTCATCCTCAATATTCTTGAAGAAGTTCTTATTAAAGCCTCTCAGAATCTTCTTTAATAATTTCAATTTTCTAACCACTCTTAGCATTTTTCAGCTATCAATCTCTATATTCCAACCCCTCCCAACCTGCTCCAAGAATTGTGGATGTTGAGTCCATACATAGCAAAACTTAAAAGATTTCCTACCTTTATGTCTCTCATTGTTCAGCACTACCTTCACTGGACAATGGTCACTTGTGCCTTAGGAAGAAACATAGCTTTACAATCAGGCATTGAATCAAGCCATTCATTGTTAATGAATGCCTAATCTATCTTAGAGTAAATTCTTTGATCACTATGTCTGTCATTCCATAAATATCTGCACCCTTGATTAGGAAGAACAGTCAATCTACATGCTTCTGTACAATTATTAAACTCCACTATTTCATCCCATGAAACAGGATTTCCTCATATTCTATCCTATATTTAACACAGGGTTGAAATCACCAATAACCTACCATGGCCTTATGCAACTTGCTACTTGTTCTTCCGGATACTCCCACAGACCTCTCATTTCCTACTTAGTGTTAAAAGCATATTGTCACGCCCCAAATCTTGGGAGGCGTGACTGGCACTCGAAGCCACACTGGTCCAAGCGAACCACTCTGCAACTCTTTTATTTTCTTTGTAACTATCATGGGCCAACATGGCCACAACTCATAATATACAACTGTAAGTGGGAAAATACTGTATCCCTGAATTATTTTTCTTAAAACACGAATACATAGGGGCCTTCAAGTCTCTGACGTACTGTACAAAATGAACCTCTGTCTGTAAAGCCTCTAAGATTAACTAACATCAAATGGGACAGGGTACCGGCCTACCCGTAAATCTGTTGAAAAACTCTGACACGATGACTTATAGACTCGACTGCACTCCGAATGAGGTGGAGTCTTTCCGATCCTTTGCTGAATACCAATATCGTCTATTATGAGGGCTCATCAACTGATTATCTATACCTGTAGGCATGAATGCAACATCCCCAACAAAAGGACGTCAGTACGAATAATGTACTGAGTATGTAAGGCATGTAAATAAGTACATAAAGTACATGGAAGAAACGTAAAGAAAGGGACTCAACCTCTAAATCTGAATTGCTCCGTAAATCATGAAATATTTATAAGCTCATGCATATACGTATAAATGTAATGTAATGCATAGGTCTATACGTATATAATATCATCAAGCCTCTGATGGCATCCCATCATATTATCTCAGCCACTGTGGGCAAAATCATCAACGTATACCAGTTGATCAGGTGGTGGTGCGTATATAATGCCGTAATCTTTTTCCCATATACCATGTACATATATTTACATATATATGCGTATATAACACCATATGGTGCCACTGTGGGCAAAATCATCAACGTATACCAGCTGATCAGGTGGCGGTGCATATATAACGCCGTAACCTTTTCCCATATCCCATATACATATATATATATATATATACATATATACGGGTATATAACGCCATCTGGTCATGGGTCAATATACATGAATGCAATGCATGAGAAGTACGTCAATAAATCTCTTGGAATGTCATAATAGCATTATGCCTTCGAGTAATATCATGAAGTAAACTTTATCAACTTGTGTATTTTCTGAGACCCAAGAACAGACGATAGAATAATAAGACTTATGGGAAATCAAGAATTAAGCATCTCTAGCATTTCTACGAATAGAGTGATTCATGGAAGTTATGTATTTACTCGTTTCAAAAACAAATAATCTTTCTTTTTATTTCTAATTTGCTTCATTTTCTTATTCAAATCTATTTATTTAATTGCTAAATTTTGAGCTTTAAAACTGGAAATATCAAAAACCCTCAATACACTTCAACTGGGCACGATAAAATTAAATATTGAGCTTAAAGATATGTCATTCTCATTCTTTCTAGCAACTATTGCTAATAACAAAGCAGTATAGCTGAAAATTCTAGCACGCAAATGACCTTCAAACTTATAGCAGAGATAAAACCTTCAATTCAAAAGATAATCATATTAGTTTCATTCTTCATTGTACTTATTTCTAAATTTTTCAGTCATAAAGCTAAAAAAAACTATAAAAAACCCCCAGAAAACGCTTCAACTGGGTAAAACAAAAAGTATATTTTTCGCTCAAAACCCCATTTTTAGCATATTTATTTCTTGTATATGTTGCTAACTTTGCCATTTATTTCTAATTTTTCAGCCATACAACTAAAAACTGGAAAAAATTCAACTTCGGTTTAACCAAAAAAAAAATAATCTTTTTTCCACTCAAAAATCAATTTTTTTGCAGGGAAAAACTTACAGGCATCGATAGCATCATTCATCATATCATCATATCATCATCTTCATTTTAAAAATCACGTTTTGCTTTTTTTTTTGGAGCGTTGTTGTTTTCCTTCTTCTTGAACTTTCCTGCTTTCTTTCCCATTATGTATAATACTGTAGAAATGAGGCAAAGGGTTTAAGAAACCAAAGAGTTTAAAACCCTTTTCAAGAGGTTTATTGTATAAACAAAAAATAATAATAAGAGAACGGCTGCCAAGGGTGGGGGACTGGAGTTTCCATTTTGGATCGTTTTTAGTCAATGACATAAAATGTCAGGTTCCAATTTGAGAAGTCTTCTACAGTCACCAGAAATTCCATTTTTACCATGCCACATATGTTAATGAGTGCATCAGTCACAATTTCATAGGGTGGCCTACTGCCACGTAGTGTCTGAAAAATTGCCAAAATCCGAGCTCTCTAGGTCAAAATATGAAATAAAACCCTAAACCTCGTATTTATAGTGCATCTCCCGGATTTCCACCACTGCTGACTGCACAAAAACCACCGCTGACCGCGGTGGATCACCGTTGACCGCACAAAAACCAGTGCTGTCCGCGGTGGATTTGACTGTAATGACAGGCTTTAGTATTTTGGCCATAACTTTCTCTACTGATGTCCAAATTGTGATTTCTTTACCTTTCTGGAGACTAGATACGAAGGGCTACAACTTTCGTTTTTGAATCATCTCAAATTCCTTGTAGATCAAAAGATATAAGCTTCCGAAACCAGACCAGTGAAACTTTTCTCACTGCGGACCGCACTGGATTTTGTGCGGCCGCAAAGCCCCCACCGGGGACAGCACAAACTCCTGTGCGGACCGCACTGGTGGGTTCAGAGGTCTACAACTCCCCTGGACCTGCAACAGCTATGATTTTAGGCCTAAAACATTCCGGAACCTACTCGGAACTCACCTGAGCCCCCGGGACCTCAAACCAAATGTACCAACACATCCCATGACATAATTCAAACTTGTTCAAAACTTCGGAACGCTCACAACAACATAAAATCACCAATTTAACATAGGATTCAAGCCTAAGAACTCCAAGAACTCTTAAATTATGCCTTCAATCAAAAAGTCTATCAAACCTCGTCCGAATGACCTGAAATTTTGCAAGAACGTCACATTCAACACTACGGAGCTACTCCAACTTTCAAAATTCCATTCCGACCCTTAGATCAAAATCTCACTATCGGATCGGAAACTTCAAAAATTCGACTTTCGGCATTTCAAGCCTAAATTAGCTACGGACCTCCAAAACACAATCTGATCACGCCCCTCGAAATCACCCAATGGAGTTAACGGAACCATTGGATTTCCATTCCGAGGCCGTCTTCACACTGTTCCGACTACGGTCAACTTTCTAACACTTAAGCTCTCATTTAGGGACTAAGTGTTTCAAAACTCTCCGAAACTCAAAAGCGAACATCCCGGCAAATTAAAATAGCAGAAACAAACTCAGGAAAAGTAGTTAATAGGGGATCAGAGCGTTAATTCTTAAGATGATCGGCCGGGTAGTCACAGATAGGATTCCCTCGGAGGCTTGGTGATATTATGTACGTACAGACCTATGCATTATATGACATTTATACGCATATGCATGAGCTTATAAATATTTCATGATTTACGGAGTGATCCAGATTTACAGGTTGAGTCCCTTTGTTTACATTTCTTCCATATACTTTATGTACGTATTTACATGCCTTACATACTCAGTACATTATTCGTACTGACGTCCTTTTGTTGGGGACGCTGCATTCATGCCTACAGGTATAGATAATCAGTTGATGAGACCTTATAGTAGACGAGATTGGTATTCAGTAAAGGATCGGAAAGACTCCACCTCATTCGGAGTGCAGTCGAGTGTATGAGTCATCATGTCAGAGTTTTGCAACAGATTTACGGGTAGGCCGGTACCCTATCCCATTTGATGTCAGTTAATCTTAGAGACTTTGTAGACAGAGGTTCATTTTGTACGGTACGTCAGAGGTCTTGATGGCCCATATGTATTCGTGTTTTAAGAAAAATGATTCAGGGATACAGTGTTTTCCCACTTACAGTTGTACATTATGAGTTGTGGCCATGTTGGCCCATGATAGTTACAAAGAAAATAAAAGAGTTACAGAGTGGTTCGCTTGGGCCAGTGCAACTTCGAGTGCCAGCCACGCCTCCCAAGATTTGGGGCATGACAAAGTGGTATCAGAGCGGGTCGTGTCCTAGGGAAGTTTACAAAGTCGTGCCTAGTAGAGTCTCACTTATGAGTGTGTTGCGCACCACATTTATAATTGAGAGGCTATACGGCATTTAGGAAATGTTACCCTTCTTTTGTTTCCAGATCGTGCCATAGAGCTGAGTCGTAAGAAGTCAATATGAAGTTTTCGCCAGATTTTGTATACACCAGAGGTGCAGGTATTACAGTAGAGTTTTAGGGCATAATTTTCATCTATGTTGAAGGGAGGTTATGAAAGAAACAGAAGATACAATGTGAGATTGAAAGGTAAGTAAGGTAAAGGTGAGGAAGATATAAGATACTCCAGTACAAAAGGTTGTTAATAGTCGTGACTTCGGATATAGTTTTTATTTTAGTTTAGTTACAGAGGAGACCCTAGTGAAAATTTTGAAAATCTCTAAGAGTTAACATTCGAGAACGAATGTTTTAAAGGGGGGAAGGATGTTACACCTCGTGAGTTTAACATCATTGACACCGTTATATACGTTTGATGTGGTATTTTGAGGGAAACATTTTTTGTAAAAAAAAAAAGTTTGAAAAAATATGATTTTATATAATTGTTAATATTACCACTTTCGAATATGCTTTAAATTATACACATATATAATATGAGAAAGGTTAATGAGATTTTCTTTATTGTAAAAATAGAAGTTATTTTCTCACAAAAGAAGTTTTTTTTTTTTACCATTTTAATAATTAAGCATACGAAAATTTGTATTCTTTATATGAGATTAGGAAAATTAGAAGTTGAGAAATGATTTGGGATGGAATTTGGGAAGAAAATTGTGAAATCTTTCAAAAATGTAAAATGATGATTTGAAGGACCAAATGACATCGGAATTGGATAATTTTGGTATGGTTAGACTCATGAGAGTATAAGGATTCTGAAAATATAAATTTTACCTGATTCTGAGACGTGGGCTCGAGGGGCATTTTGGTCATTTTACCTAATTTTGCATATTAGCTTAGAATTTCTTTGTAGAATCAATTACTTGAAGTGTTATTTACATTATGCAATTAAATTAAATAGATTCTGGCCATTTGGAGTCGAGTACTCGTGGCAAAGACGTAGTCTCGGGTTGATTTTAAGCTGGTTCGAGGTAAGTAGCCTGTCTAACCTTGTGTGGGGGACTTTCCCCTTAGGATTGGTATTGTGATAATTGAAATGCCTTGTACGTGAGGTGACGAGTGCGTACTTGTGCTAATTGTTGAAAATCCGATTTTCATTAAGTAACTTTAATTGTGTTTTCCCTTTCTATTTATTCTACTTGCACTTTTAAACCTGCTATTAGTTAGAGAAGCATGTCTAATTGACTTAACTGCTTTATTTGCTTTAACTGCCTTATTTGTATTACGTGAAGCATGCTATGTTAGAATTGTATGTGTTACCTTGTTATGAAATTGAGTTTATTTGAGTATTCCTTGTGCCATTGTTGTGTGTTTTACTTTGGGACTACGGGACGACATCCTGGGAGATTCCCTATACGCATTTACGATTTGAGCTGAAGTGCAGGATACCGAGAGATCCCCAGCACGTACATTAAGGATACCAAGATATCCTCGGGATACTAAGAGATCCCTATCATACATTGAGGATACCAAGAGATCCTCGGGATACTAAGAGATCCCTATCATACATTGAGGATACTAAGAGATCCTCGGGATACCAAGAGATCCATGCCATACATTGAGGATACCAAGAGATCCCTAGCATATATTGAGGATACCGAGACATCCTCGGGATACCAAGAGATCCCTGGCATATATTGAGGGTACTAAGAGATTCTCAGGATACTAAGAGATCCCCGGTTATTTCCTTGTGATTATTTTGCCTCTGTTTCAGTTATTGAATTCCTTGTTTTTCTGTATTAAGTTCTTATCGTTAGTTTTCAACTGTACTGCTTATCTTCTACTATCATGTCTTATATTCTTTATTTTATCTCAGTAGGGCCCTGACCATCCTCATCACTACCCGATCGAGGTTAGGCTTGGCACTTACTGAGTACCGCTGTGGTGTACTCATGCCCCTTCTGTGCATGTTTTTCATGTGCAGATCCAGGTACTTTCACTCTGTCTTATCATCCTTGAGGCGAGGCACTTCTATAGAGACTTTGAGGTATATCTGCCGCATCTGCAGACCGAGGAGTCCCTTTCTATCTTTCTGTAATAGTATATAGCCTTTTAGTATTCCCCTTTTTGGTTAGACATTTCTGGAGTTAGAGCTTCTTATGTATCTCTTAGATTGTGATTCATCGGTTTCCAGGTCTTGGAGATATGTATTGGTTTCTGAGAGTTAAATATTGTGTATGCCGAGCGGCACTTTTAAACACTGTTTTATCCCTCTTCATTCTGTTTTAAATTTGTTTTTATTCCGCACTTTGGTTATCTTCCGCAATTTTTACCTAGTCGTAGAGGACTAGGTGCCGTCACGATGGTTCACAGAGGGAGAACCGGGGTCGTGACAAGTTGGTATCAGAGCTCTAGGTTCATATGAGTCATGAATCACAAGCCAGTTTATTAGAGTCTCGTTGATCGAGATGGAGACGTCTGTACTTATCTACGAGAGACTATGTAACCGTTAGGAAAATTCTGCTTCATTTGATTTCCCTGTCGTGCGAGATTTTTGACATCATGAATCATAAACCTATGTCTTCCATTTTCTCACAGATGGTAAGGACACGTGCTACCAGAGATGATCAGACACCCACGCCCCTTGCTAGAGCCATCAGAGGTCGGGGCCGAGATAGAGGCTGAGGACGCGCATGCGGTGCAGCCAGAGCACCCACGCGAGCTACCACCGAGGAGCCACCAACAGTTCCAGCCAGAGCCCAGGCACCGGATACGCCTACTGCTACTACTACTCCAGCACTTCAGGAGACATTACCATAGTTCCTGAGCATGTTTAGTACATTAGTTCAGGCGGGGTTGATTCAGCTTGTACCAACTACTTCACATATTGGGGAAGGGACCTAGACTTCCACCACCCCCACTCCAGAGCAGCGAGTTCTCATTGTACATGTTCCAAGTGTCATGGCGACACAG